CCAGAAAATTCCAATTGCTCCTTTACACCCTATACCTGCATTTGATGAACCATTCAGTAAGGTTCTTATTGACTGTGTTGGTCCTTTACCAAAAACAAAATCTGACAATCAATATCTGCTCATTATTCTGTCCATGGCCACACAGTTTCCAGAAATAAAATCACTCCTTATGCTTAGAAATAGCAAAACCAAGTATATTGTGAAATCACAAATCAACAATTTCACATTAGTTGAGATACCAAAGGAGCTCATATCTGACTTACAATCTAACTCAGTGCTGAATGATTTCATTTGCATTGATAAAACTACCCCTGTGAGGTGTAGAGAGCTACACATGATGAAAAAGTATGTTGAGCGTGATAAAATTTCTTTACTCAACATGAGCTTGTTCTCTTGGCTCATAGGCCAAACTTGTATGTCAATGACAACTATACATGTATGTTATTCAAGAGTCAGATATTGTAAATTATAATGATTAACTCATGAAGATTATATATATGGTAGGCAAATTAGAGATTTGTGATAACTGTCACTTTATTTTAACAATATATAAAAACATTTGCCTAAATAGTGAAATTGATTTTATATGAACTATAAGATTGCATCTAGATTATGTGAGCATTATAGGTGATCATTAAATAGTGTCACAAGATTACTTGATAACATCAGAGTGTACAATTAGAAATACTTACATAAGATCATGTGATAATTTAAAACATTGTACTAGTTTAGTGTTTGTCAGACTCAAAATGTATGCTATTGTACATGTTATATGATCTATTGCATGTATTGTATTTATGACTTAATGCATAACTTATGTAGATACTATTGTAGTATATGATTACAAGAACATTATATGTTATTAGATTGTACTCACACTGTAACGATAGAAAGTATTAAATACTTGTAAACATACTGCATATAAAAAAAAGAATATTGTAAACAAATATCATGTAAGTCTCAACTTCACTTTTAGAAATTGTAACGCTCGCTACTCAAGATATTATTGTAAAAGTTTTTCATTGCATTCAAAACTTTTCTTTTAAGGAGGGAGGTGTTACAGTAGTGAGCTACATGTATATTATATTCTACTATATTCACCTATAGTTTAATTTGTAATCTATGCTTGCTGTATATGTTGAGCTATTCTTCATTAGAGATCTTAGGTCAAGGTCACAATGACATTATACACTGTATCTTGTAAACAAAACTGAACTGAATGACTCATTAACCCTTGACCATCCAGATAGTTCTAGAAATTATAACCATTCATTAAAATTTAATCATGTCACTAAAGATGTCCAATCAAGATGTAGTTCCGGAAGATTCATTTCTGGATAATTCTTTCACATTATAAAAAGAACAGCACAGTGACTCTCATTAGCAGATAATTAAATCATCATAACTGGACATCTCAAAGGAACTAAATAAAGCAGAATTTCAAAGTTGATCAAAGGACATCTTCTTAACAGAAAATAACAGACACATACTGTGGGAACATTTATAACACTACAAACACACAACCTGAGGACTTTATATGGACATATATTACAACACACACTATATACGGATTATCATATACATTCGTGGATTATCATAATTATTTGTGGATTATCATCAAACATTATTGGATACGAACATTATAGGATTACGACAAACATTATTGGATTATTACAAACATTGGAGAACTATTAACGATTATTGAAACCTTCGTGATCTGGAACATTCTCAAGGATCGTCAACGACATTTATCGACATCAAGAATAAGCCGTATCATTGATTGAACATCACTTAAGTATTAAACCTCCTTTATATTATTGTTATATTATTTAGTTTTCAAAACATAAATATATTGTTATCATATTTTAATTGCTGTTTTTACTTTCTGTTATTTTCGAACGTAACATATGTGAGATATTATATCAGCAATAACAACAGGACATCATTGATTGTCTGGGGGAGAAACCTATGGCATAATGCATCTTTAACTGTTATATCTTAAAATATGATATTGTTGGTCTAATAAGGGCAGGTTTGAATTAAAAATGAGTGTTATGTGTATTGGGAGGGGGTCTTGTTACTTGGGTAGATTTCAGGCAGATTACCCATCAATACTATTTTGCCTCTTGATTTTGAATCTTTGATAGATACCCAGCAGAGTGAAGAAACAGGGTCGCCTATATTCAAATTCTGGTACATGGTACTCCAATTACAAGTTCTGGGTCTAACAAATGTTAGAGCTGTGAGACTTGGGGACTTCAAGCTCTACAAAGAAACTATCATGGAAATCATACCATGGTTTGTCTTCCTGGATCATACCAATTATGCCCGCTAGGTATCTGTCCATGTAAGTGATATGGTTCAGTTCAAAGAAATCCACCCTGAAGTTCAACAATGGTTTCATGAAGGGGCATTTCACTGTCAGCAAGTCAATAGACCAAGCCCATGAGCAAAATAATAGTGTGATCAAAAGTGAGGGTGGAGCTGTGGGGTTGTTCGACAATCCAACCGCATTACAGAAGTGGATGGTCGATGGTCCAGAGATTGCAAGAATGTTAACTGAGTTTTAGGATGAGATGAAGAATAATGATGGTCCTTGCAAACCATGAGCACAGTGTTAGTTATCAAACCAGTTTCAACAAATATGTCAATTCCCTTACTTAGGTTATCAATGATTTAGGATACCCCTTTGTTGCAACATCGAAGGATCTTTGGACACTTGATACTTAAGATGTAATGTCAAGCAGTGCAGTTGACACATTGAACACAATTGAGAAAAGGGGGAAAAGTCAATGTGAATTATATATAAAGGAGAGAATTATTGACCCTATCAAGAGAAACAATTTCAAGATCTTCAAACAAATCTAAGTCAAGTTCAAAGCTAGCAAGCTTGAAAAATGACACTGCCCTATTTTCACAACTATACATAGCGTGCCAGAATAGAGACGGCAACTTAGATGAACTTTTCCGACATGAGAACCAGGCATTCCCTCCATCCCTTTCACAAGATGGCACAATCAAGACTGGACTCAAAGCAAATATCTTAAAACCAGTGGAAGACCTTGTTCCAAATAGAGAGATCAGCCCTGTTTCTTGATGGTGCCGTAATAGTCCACCTGCTGAAAACTCAAGAAGCAAGAACCTTCCTACAATATTCAAATGACATATTTAATAAGTATACTGTCAAATAGTTTATCCAGAAAACAAATTGCCAGGAAATTGGCCAAAATTTCTACACTCGGATGACAAGAAAAGTGATCTCTTACCTTCCTTGCATCAAATGTCTCAGTCATTCCAGTACCAGAGAATAAAATCCTGATTACAACAATAAGGAATTCTGCAGAGGCATGTCCTAAGCAGCATGTTTCTGAGATTTCACCATCATCCCATGAAGAGGCAGATTCTCGAATCTTTCTGCACATATATGATGCAATGAAAAAAGGCTTCACAAAAATGACGATTAGACCAGTTGATTCAGACATTGTTGCTCTGGCAGTTAGTACAACTTAACATTCAAATCTGGCTCACCTTTGGCAAGTGAAAGTCCTATAGATACCTTCCAGCCCACGAAATTGCCCATGAAATGACTCCTCAGAAAGCCATGTGTTTCCCAATATTCCATGCTATGACTGGGTGTGACACCACATCAGGCTTTAATGGAAAGTCTAAGACATCAGCCTGGAACCAATGGAGTACCTACCCTGAATTGACTACAGTATTAACAGAAATCTCAATACGACCCAATACCCTGATTGATGCCTATTTTAGAGCAGTTCATTATTCTGGTCTCCAACTTAAAACGAGCAATGAAACATCAATCAATGCTGCGTGGAAGGAGATGTTCACAAAGAGGACTTCAATAATATCACACATTCGTCCAACATCAGATGCCCTTTTACAGCATATGAAGAGAGTCATATACCAAGCTGTATTTATTTGGGGGCAACCACTTACAGCAAATCCTCAAGTTCCTTCCCCAGCTGAGTGGGGCTGGATATTTGAAGACACCAAATGGATACCAAGGTGGACAACCTTACCCCAAGCATCAGACGCTTGCTAGGCTCTCATAAAGTGTAGCTGCAAAAACCAATGCATATCAACATGATGCAAGAGCCTGAAAGGAAATCTTGTTTGTACAGCATTATGTGTGTGTGATGGCAATTGTTCTTCATAAGGACACTGCAACATACCAAAAAGTAACTATGATACTGATAGACACTAGTATAAGTTCTTCTATTGATAAGATTAATAAAACTATGATTTAAAAATGTGTGCAAAGTGAAACTAAAGGAACTATGAAACAGATATAGATAGTTGATACATGGAGTCTAACTGCACTCAGAAGCCAAAAGAAACCACAAGTCAAGCCGTATCGACCATTTTTTCTGTATATCTAAAAGATGGGTGTGACTCAAAACAAGCCTTTAACAGTGAAAAAGGTGAACAATAAAAGTCATGTGAAGCATTAGATATTGATGTAAGTTTACAATCATATATCACTTCTTTGATTTACTCCTGCTACTGTGATATGGTGCAAAATATTCAATACAAGAAAAGTGGGCGTCGCCCATCACCACCCTTTAACATAGCAATCAAAAATCAATGGTATTCCATTTTTACTTCAACATTAACTTCTTAACATGATAAGGTAATATTAAATTTGAAGTATGAGCATAATTTAGTAAAAAAAATTGTGTCAAAATTTTTTTAGCCCCCCCCCCCCTCCGTGACCATGGGGGGGGTAAGAATTGTAAAATTAGGGTAGTTCCTATGAAGCGATTTTTTGGCACAGTTGCTTTATTTAAAGAGTAGCAATCAGTGATCATTTGAGGAAAGTTTCACGATTTGTTCCGCAAACGGCGATTACTTTACACTATTTATCCCGCTAATACTGAAAAAATACTTTGAGACATTAAAACTCTATAGATAAAAATGGGCTAACGATTCTTGAACGGCGCCCGAAAATGGCCGAGGATGGCCTAAGATTTAACCCTAACCCTTCAAGGAATTTGATTGGTTCTTTGAAGCATCTTCGGCCATCTTCGGCCTTCTTCGTGATATAAACGTCTTCGGCTTCGGTATATTGGTATTTTCGGAATCAAAATGAGGTCAGTGGTTTACAATCTACTTGTGATGTAATAGGCGCCATAAGCGCATGCTCTACATAATCCTGAAGTCTGTCCACTTGCGATCTCTGTTTCCGTTTCTGTCTACAGTAATAGGTTGTAAATATAGCCATTGCTGCCATGGTAACCAGTAAACAGGATGCAAGTCCAATATTTTGGGTTGTCAGTCTCTTTTCTAATTTTGAATGTAGCGTTTGCTCATCCGTCTCAACTAAAAAAGTAGAAAACACACATGGAAGCGAGTAGTAAATACCCGAAAGTTTACTAACATATGCAGCTACACATACTTCCCAAGTTATGCAACCGTTAAGGAACAAAATTAAGATTTAAATACTTGGTGTGTTTTCCTATGAAAACTTCCGTGTGCCAAACTTATGAAGGGAAGTGTATATCGTGTAAGAATTTAGCTCCTTTTCTATAATATTTCGAAACATACTCGTCTTTCGTCTCTATCCCTTCTATGTGACACTGAAAAATAATTAGAGGAAATCAAAATAACTGACCTGTTCCGACTATAGCCGCTGCTATGGCAACGTTGTCGGCAGAATCTCCTTTAACACCTTTCATTCCTGGACTACCAGGGAGACCTCTCTTGCCAGGACTCCCTGCGATGCCAGGAGAGCCCCATGGTCCAGCTGGGCCAACGGGTCCAACAGGCCCTGTATCTCCCGGGGCACCTTTCTCGCCAGCGGGGCCAGGGGGTGGGGAAGAACCTAGAGGTTAAGTAAAGATAAAATTTATACCCAACTCTTAAACGTGAAGTGAAGCCTCAGTCACCTTTGATCTACGGCGGCCGTAACATCATAACATTGATATAGAAATCGACATCGTGCTGCTTATCCCAACATTTTTTGCTGCATATTTCTCTCAATTTTGGGTAGATACGGCTGCAGTACAGTTTCAGTAAATCAAATGTGACTGAGGCATTACATTTGAAAATATTTTAGGTTTATTTGGATGAGATAGAACGAGAGGAAAATATATTGTACTAAAACTGTGACATTTCATTTACAATGCTCTATCCCTTCTAACCCTCGTAAAAATAAGTAGAAGGGGGTCTTAAAAAATATTGAAATTAAACGAGGGACAAATGGTAATGATATATTTACCTGGTACACCAGGCGGCCCCTGTGGGCCTATTGGCCCTTGTAGACCAGTTAATCCAATTGGTCCTTCATCTCCACGAGGACCTTTATCACCGGGAGGACCAGCAGGTCCTTGATCACCTACTTCACCAGGAGGACCCGCTTCACCCGGCAAACCATCGACGCCATTGATACCAGGTATTCCGTCATCACCGGGAGGACCCTTTTCTCCAATATCACCACGAGGTCCAACAGCACCTATAATATAATGTACATTCAGTTATCTACAACTTTTAAATCTATTCAATGATTACTAACCCTACTAACTACTATCACACCAAACAAGTTTTCACTACGTTCTCGAAAACGGGGTTCAACTGTATACGAACGGACTGGACGTACTTAGAGCCATTTGGGGTCTATTTACAAACTTCATCGAGCGTACTCGAACGGGTAGGTCCTCTAGAACTTAGAACATGCTCAAAATGTTCTCTTGGTCGTCACGTTCTGCAATTAGAACGAGTGACAACCTACTAACGACGAGCTGGCCGTACTACGAACGGAACCGTCGTACTTCAATCATACTAGGGACGTTTTTATAACGAGTTGAACTGTCTGAGGACGTATTGAGAACGAGGTAGAACTAATTGTAAACGAGTTAAACTGATTAAGAACGTATTTATGAACGAGTTAGCAAAAATATAGCTATCACACCAAGTAAGTTGCCACTACGTTCTAGAAAACGGGGTTCAACTGCTATCACACCAAGCAAGTTGCCACTGCGTTCTTCAAAACTAGTTATAAAACTGTGTGCGAACGGAATGAACGTAGCTACAACGTTCTACGGTCTGTTTACGAACTTCATGGACTTTCCCGGACGGGAAGTGTGATTTAGAATTTTGAATCGATTCAAAATTCGATGGCGACCATACCGTACTGTAATCAGGTCATGATGACCTTCTAGACTAAGGGACGCGTTATACGACGTTGCACACCGACGCGCTGAACGAACTGCGAATGAGATGGACGTATTGGAGACGGTTTATGAACGAAGTAGCTAATTATTTTAGATATATTTCCCGACCACAGCCAGATTGAGCCCGTCTTACGACGTTTTCGTAGGACTGGCAACAACGGGTAAGAACTAGTTTGGTGTGATAGGGGGATTAAATGACATACAGACAGACAGATGGCTCAACCACCTTTATACTCAACTCGGCAAGTATTTTAATTACTACCAAGGTGAAAACGAATTCCTAGACAATCTTGGTTCTACACGTTAACGTACAAGCTCTCTACTGTACAACCCTATCATTTACCGATGATTCCAGGCAGCCCCGGGTCACCCGGGGGTCCCGGTGGACCTGGTGTTCCCGGGCTTCCATCATCTCCAACGTAACCATCTAGCCCTGGAGGACCTCCTGTACCCTGTGGCCCAGTGGGACCCGCCATACCCTTGTCGCCAGGGGGACCATTGGGTCCTATAGAGCCAGGCTGACCGTCTGGCCCCGGCGGGCCTGGCTGACCTTGGGGACCCGAAGGACTGGGACCTTGAGTGGTGGTCGTTGGCATCAGTACACCAGCACTTGTACCTGCGTGAAAATGAGAATGACATATTTCAGCTTTCCAACGGTACGAACTTTGTCTATCGCCATGGTGTAGACTATATCAAAAAGTACTTCCCTGGTCCTTACATTTCATGTTTTGGTGCAAACATGATCATAAAATCTCAAATGGAACTTGCAAAGTACTGAATTATTGGGACTTTTAAGAAATCATTTACGACGGGCATTTAAAATTTAAACCATATTTCTATGTGATTTCATTTACAACTCACAAAATAGATCCTTTCTAAAGTGAACACAGCATTCTTCGGTTTGTAACTTAAACTTTTTTCCTGCGACGTATTTATGCGTGAAGCACTCATTGAAGTGCTTGTTGAAGTCTCCCGCAGCACACATTGGGTCGCTAGCACATATTTCTTTACAAGCTGCGTCGGTATCTACATCGGTGTGGAGCACCTCGGCGTCCATAAGGAAAGAATTGTAATATTTACAACCTACAACAAAAATTGACAAAGGCATTAACGTGCAAAATGTCACCACCTGTCATTTGTTACAGATGCCGAACGCCGACCACAGACCGTCGAGCGACAGACATTGACCACAAAGAAGTTGGAGGCGAAAACAATGTCACCACTAGTTTTAGTACAGTAGTGACGCAATAAGTGCATTACTGGTAAATAGGTGTTTTATAATATGTTTCACATATGTTTCACCCTTGGTATACGCAGCTAACGAAAATTGACCGGTACGGGTCAAAAGCTGGACCGGTACGGGTTAACGGTTTTATTTGAATTTAAAATAGCCATAACTTGCTCAATATTGACTTCCTCGTGTCTAATTTGAAATATATGATGCCTCCCGATGCTTTTAAGTACCCCAATTTTTTACAGATTTTTAAACGGACCAAAACTCTCTAAAAGCGCATTTATGCTCTTTTCTCTCGAGAACGCTTTTAAGTACCCCAATTTTTTACAGATTTTTAAACGGACCAAAACTCTGTAAATGCGCATTTATGCTCTTTTCTCTCGAGAACGACTGTCTCATTTTCACGATAACTTTTATTTAGTACTTCTAACATATAAGATCTATTTTTCCCCATCAAGGTATGATGTAAATGACATGCTATTTACATCTTGTGAGTTTCAATGACGCGCGTTTGATTTTATAAAAACTGCCAAACTTTGTGACAAAGAATTTCATCCTGCTTGCAGCGAGAAGACGGACCGGTTCGGGGCAATCTGCTTGCATCGAGAAGACGGACCGGTTCGGGGCAATAGCTGATGAAATTCTTTGTCACAAAGTTTGGCATTTTTTATAAAATCAAACGCGCGTCATTGAAACTCACAAGATGTAAATAGCATGACATTTACATCATACCTTGATGGGGAAAAATAGATCTTATATGTTAGAAGTACTAAATAAAAGTTATCGTGAAAATGAGACAGTCGTTCTCGAGAGAAAAGAGCATAAATGCGCATTTACACAGTTTTGGTCCGTTTAAAAATCTGTAAAAAATTGGGGTACTTAAAAGCATCGGGAGGCATCATATATTTCAAATTAGACACGAGGAAGTCAATATTGAGCAAGTTATGGCTATTTTAAATTCAAATAAAACCGTTAACCCGTACCGGTCCAGCTTTTGACCCGTACCGGTCAATTTTCGTTAGCTGCGTATACCAAGGTTGTTTTAGACTATTCCATCAGATAAATTTTTGCACGAGGCTTACCAATGGTAGTTCCATAATCGCTTTCTCTCGTTGTCTGGTGGGCAACGCCATACCCTACCACCGCCGATGCTGCCACAAATACATACAGCAACACTGCTTGCATCGTGCTGTCCCTATTCAACACTAAAGAGGGCGCTGTCAGCACTAGACATACACTGCGCGAAGTCTAAAAGTAATTACCGGGTATTGTAATGCTCTTTGTTAAAGTTGCATAGGCCGTTTTCTTTATTAATCCAAGTCTTCATATGCTTCTCGGATCCGTGTGTCCAAGCGTTGTTTTTACGAAACTACATTAGCTGATGATAGTCTGTCCATATGTTCACTTTTAAATAATACATCCTAAAAACTGCCATCCTATCCTAGTATTTAATACAATGTCAATTCAGTTGAGTCATACCAGCGCAACATCAAGTCTGTGACTACATTTTTGTGGTTGAAGCAAAAAGAAGATTTCCATATTTGGCTAGAAAAATATAACAATTTCAGGCATTTTGATGACATATTTCAAAGCAATAGAATTCACAATGCATTCTTCAATAAGTTCATTACTAGTGTAACATTATTAAAATGTATGGAATGAATTGATTTTTACTTGTAGAAATTAGATTTTATGGGACTGCCTCGAAAGGGAGGTACACACGAGAATTCTGACGATTATAAAATTACGATTGCCAGTGACTGATGGCTACAAATTAGGTAGTAGCCTAATTATCGAATCTAATAAAATATCAAAACGAGTCATAGAGGGTACAAATTAAAAATCATTGAAAAGTGGATGTGCAAATAGTGACCTACATTGAGAGAACGCCGATGCAATGCGACCGGGCGCAGCAAATCTCAAACTGTACTGGACAGCACTGTTTATGAAAAAGTATTGTACAGCGCTGTTCAAAACATACTGTACAGCGCTGTCCAAAACTGTAATGTACAGCGCTGTTTATGAAAAAGTATTGTACAGCGCTGTTCAAAACAGACTGTACAGCGCTGTCCAAAAGTGTAATGTACAGCGCTGTTTATGAAAAAGTATTGTATAGCGCTGTTCAGAACATACTGTACAGCGCTGTCCAAAACTGTAATGTACAGCACTGTTTATGAAAACGGTATTGTACAGTGCTGTTCAGAACATACTGTACAGCGCTGTCCAAAACTGTACTGTACAGCGCTGTTTATGAAAATGGTATTGTACAGTGCTGTTCAGAACATACTGTACAGCGCTGTCCAAAACTGTACTGTACAGCGCTGTTCATGAAAAAGTATTGTACAGCGCTGTTCAAAACATACTGTACAGTGCTGTCCAAAACAGTAATGTAAAGCGCTGTAAGATGATAATACGGATTGGGTGTAAATACCATAAATGCTGACCATGTGGTCAAACGTTTAAGTAGATGAAACTATTTTGGTACAATCAAGTATTTATCAAGTGGAATAGCTGTTAATCTATGCAAATCATGCACTGACGTACACATGAATGGCTACAAAAATTGTTGCAGATTCTGTTTGACCACCCAAACACCAGTCACAGAATGTGCCTATAATATGTATTCACTTCTTCTTATCTGGGTGGCGACACAAAAATAGACAGGATTTCAATCAAGTATTTATCAAGTGGAATAGCTGTTAATCTATGCAAATCATGCACTGACGTACACATGAATGGCTACAAAAATTGTTGCAGATTCTGTTTGACCACCCAAACACCAGTCACAGAATGTGCCTATAATATGTATTCACTTCTTCTTATCTGGGTGGCGACACAAAAATAGACAGGATTTCAGATCATCACATTCTTTTTATTAAACTGTAGTTGAAGGACTCAATAAATTTAGGCTTTATACACTCTCCTCGTTAGTTTGGCAACTAGAACGTTTTATTGGAGAACATATCGGTCATTTAATGTTTTAATAATAATCAATTTCAAGTATTCACAAATCTGCTTAATTTCTTCAATAAACATGTTTTGATAGGTGATTGATCAAAAAGGGGACTTCTACCATACTTATGAAGGGGAGTGTACATATTACTACGTAGGGTTAGTGTAGATTTCATCATCTCAAATGACAGAAAATAATAAATTGATAGCTGACATAATTTTATTCTACTAACAGTATTGTATACTAAATGAGAGAAATTGTACAGGTTTACAATTTATTATGCTTCTAACAACATTCACATGATTGTTTTAAGAATATACTAATTTACAATAATATTCAGTAAAACATCTGTACAGGATGTCCATAAAGTTTCTTTATAATTACAATAAAATGTTAAGTGTAAAGAGACTCCATGGACACCATGTATATCTGAACACCTCTATCATCTAAATACATTTTTCGGTTCTTCTTTTAATCCTCGGATGGCTCCAGTGTTCAAAATCTTGAAATTGAACACTAAACCTCACAATGAACACTTTTAGCTCACCCAAATGGTGTTCAGAACAGATAGGTTTCACCGTAATGTAACACGTTTTTAAATGAGATTTCTTACACCTTTGACGCTAAACAGGTAATAAGGAGTGAATATTTTATTCCCACAATGTGGTCGACACATTCATCTTAATGGTTGGATTCAATGTTCGTTCAATAACAAAACCATGTGAGGGCGTTAAATTGAACAAAATCAATTTAATCAAACTATATAGAAATATCAAATTAAGCTATTCAATCTTATAACAACTGAAAATCATATTATTGATTAAATAAGAATTCTATTTTACATTAAAAATGCCTATTTAGGGAACACAATAAATTGTTAAAGAGAAAAAAATTGTTTAACAATGACAAAAACAACTGAATTTTAGGAATGCACAGATAATAGATAATAAATTTTGCATCAAATATTTGGTACATCACTCTCCCATTTTATAAATTTCCTCTTGACTAGTAGACATGTGTGTTAATGGCGGACGGGATGACACAAAATGAGGGAGAGGGTATACAAAAGGTCGATGCAAGACTAAGAATAATAGTATTATTCAGTTATTGATACACAAAGATTCCAATATTGTTCATTACACAAAGATTCCAATATTGTTCATTTCATATGATCAAGCACCCTTTAATTAGTTAACATAATATTTAGATAATTAGCTAAGCGTTTTCATTTTTTCTGTTTAAGCTGTACACTTTGCCCAAAAGTGGGATACAAGTATAATAAAGCTCATAATAGTGTAATATGAAAAGATTTTTACATTTTTGAAATAAAGTAGCACTAAAATACATTCAGGTGCAGTTTTAGTTTCATAATTCAGCTCTTCTTGGCCAACATTTAAAGCCACAAAATAAAAATAAAGATTATTCGACACCTGTACATGAGTTCTACTCAAAAAATCATCGAAAAATTACAGAGTTACCAAGTTTCAGTGATGTGGCTCCATCTATCTTGTATTCACCAAAATGACAGCAACATCTATTGAAGAAAAAACAACTATTTGGCAATACTACAATAACATAGCTACTAATCAAGGTGTTTTAAGTCGGATCCAGACTAGTGTTAACATTACATAAGTTTATAATCAGATCTGAGAAAAGCATTTTTTATTTTTCACAATATTCATCATGCCCTTTTTAGTCATATATTAATTGTTATTTTCATATCATAATGTTTTTTTCATAACATTTTTTGATTATGTTTTTTATAATGTTTTTCATAATGTTTTTTCATTATGTTTTTTCATAATGTCTTTTCAGATATGTCTAACAAGATGTACATATATTTTGTATCGTTATTCCTTGTTGCATCCTCAATCCTTATTAAAGCTATTTTTAGTCTTTGAACAATCTTGAAATGTTTTTAATAATTAGGACTTGTAATCCTTTTTCATATTGTTATTTCCAAGCAAGGTTCTTGTCACATGATATGACTTCTTTTTCTAACTAAAAGTCATGTAAAAAGTACTTAAAGGCAGAATCAGATCTACAGGGGTGACAAAATTACAAGTAACATGTACAATTGACCTACCAATCTATTCCTTAGAGTCTCAAATACAATATCTCCCAAAAGATTTGCCATATATTATAAACTGATGAAGTTTGATTTAAAGTGCAAAAATTAGTGAAAAATATTTGAATTTTAATAATCATGCATTATTGTAAAAATCTTTAGTTTTCCTAAAATGAGTGTGCACTTTTGGGATTTTTAGAAAATAGACATGATAAGGAATGACATGAGCCAGAAATATTCTAAAATTGAAACAATTTTTTTGTTGGCCTGCTCGCTAGATCTGATTCTCTCTTTAAAATAAGATAGGACTATTCTGCTTCATTTTTCATTTCGAATGAAAAATCAAAGTCAGTTTTTTATCGTCAGCCATGACTTCCATTGCTACCATCAGCGTCAATTCAATATGAAAGCCACGTAATGTTTTTTAGTCAGTTATGACTATTTCTGTTCATACTTATCCAATCTTTTTCATTTTATAGTTATGAACTATCAATGATGGTGTAATATCAGACTTTGAGTTCATCAATGTTTCACACAAGTTTACCATCTAGCTGTATTTCTGGATGAAGTTTTTGTGGAAAATCTTGAATTTTTCCAAGACAGCCCTCAACTTTTCTAATGGTGGAAGGATGGTCATTCTGAAAACAGATATGAAAGAGAAAATATTGTTAAAGTTTATTATTTATTTTAGCTGCAGGAAATAAAATTTATGCTTAAGAATTCAAGTCTGTCAGACTGTCAGATCAAAGTCATTACTCCATTTTTAACAAGTAATTTATCGTAGTTCAATTTTGGGAATATACACTTTATTAAGTGTCACCTATTTCATGTACTATATCTTTATGTGTATTTAAAATAAATAAATAAAATAAAAATAAGTCTTTGTAAAGTGATAGACACTCCACATATTCTATAAGGATTTCCAATATATCGGATGCTTGAAGTGACAAAGAACTCCTTGATTTAACATTGCATATCTGAAGTGAAAAGTTCCAGAATTCATCTGAAATGTGATGGACACTCAATATATTCTAATCCATCCATTTCCAATCCATCATATTGGGTGCTTGAATTGACAAAGAACACCTTGATCCGGGGTCTAAAAATTTCCTGGTGAGAACCCTGTAAGGATTTCCAATCCAATATATTGCATACCTGAAGTGAAAAGTTCCCGATTTCTGTCCAAATCCACTCCCAGGTACGACACAGATTCCTGTCTCTTCTAACAGTGCAAAACAATAGAATGCATCAGGTGATTTGCCATCGGCCTATAATAAAGATTAAACACACTTGAGCTAAGAGGATGTTTGGATTTAATGTACTTACTTAAACATTTAAAACTTTTGAAAATATATTGATCATTTTGAAGAATGTATCAAAACTGTAAATGTATCTATTGAGAAAATGAAAGAAGTTTGTGGAATGTATGAATTTAGAACAATGAATGAATTTAGAACAATGAATGAATTTTGAAGGATGTATGCATTTTACAGAGAGAGTGCACTGTATAACTGTATGAATCAATTTGAAAATAATCAATTATGGAGACAAAATGATTCTGTGGAATGAATGAACCTTGAAGAATGTATCTGAAGAATGTATATACATTTTTGTGAAAGAGTATATACCTTTGCAGCCTCTATAGCCTTTGCTGGGAGATCTATCCTCGGAAACGAATACATAGCACCCTGTACCTCATTACATGACATCCCTGGTATTGAGTTGAACAACTTTGTCACAAGTTTGGCTTTCTCATTCAGCTGGCTTAGTACATGCATCTTTTCCTATAAAGTTGAATTGAGTTGAACAATTTGAACAACTTGGTCTTTCCACATAAGGGTAAATATTATTTGAGTTGAACAATTTAAACAACTTGGTCTTTCCACATAAGGGTAAATATTACTCGAGTTGAACAATTTGAACAACTTGGTCTTTCCACATAAGGGTAAATTAATTGAGTTGAACAATTTGAACAACTTGTTCTTTTCCTATAAGGGTAAATATTATTTGAGTTGAACAAATTGAACAACTTGTTCTTTTCCTATAAGGGTAAATATTATTTGAGTTGAACAAATTGAACAACTTGGTCTTTTCCTATAAGGGCAAATATTATAGGAGTTGAACAAATTGAACGACTTGTTCTTTTCCTATAAGGGTAAATATTATTCAAGTTGAACAAAGTGAACAACTTGTTCTTTTCCGATAAGGGTAAATATTATTTGAGTTGAACAATTTGAACAACTTGGTCTTTCCACATAAGGGTAAATATAATTTGAGTTTGAGCTGAACAGATTGGTCACAAGTTCAATTGGTTTAATACATGCATTTTATCCTTTAGGGAAACAATGTTGAATTATTTGAATTGAAGAACCTGTTACAAGTTTAGCATTACCCTAGTAGTGGTATACTACGTATTAGGGGCTATTTACCTGTACAAACTGGTTGTAAGATGGTTCTCCTGGTGTAGGGGGGTTCACAACAACATCCATGGCAACCTGAAATACAATTTACATAAAACATACCCATAAACTAGATTATAAGGACATAACATATATAAATATATGATAATTATATTATAAAGTTACATTATAAATAAAATCATATGTTATATTCATGAACATTTATCTAGGCAAAAATACATCAGATAATCTTGGGTAGTGAAAACTTCAGTTTTTTTCTTATGATTCAAAAAACATTGACAACAAGTGAAATAAAATCAATTAGTCAATGGACTATGAAAAATTGGACCACAAGTGAACTGTATTTATAAATGAATAAATGCAAATACTCCCAGATCCTAAAACATGCAATTCATGAAAATGAAAGAGTGTTCCATTTCTTAACTTTTTTTTCCCTGGTAAGCACAAAGAATTGGGAGTGGCATAGGAAATTTGGGGGAGGGGGGGGGGGTAATGTTGATTAATTATTGCTCAACCGTTGTCCTTTCCCCTTGATTTGTACTTCAAGAGCGGGGAAGGGGAAGAAGGAAAAGAAAGAGAAAAAAGATAGTTCAAATGGAACACCTTGTGTAACCATATACAAATGACAAAATGTCTACTCTTAACTTAAAATATGAATTGAACTAGTTAATGCGTACATAGTTAATAAACGTCAAATCAAAAATTAACTACATCCAAACGTGCTATGATCAAAACAAAGTAAAGCAGATAAACAAAAGATTTAAAAAATAAAATGAAAAATGATTTTACATAAAAAATTAAAATCATGTTATTGATCTATATTCCAGTATTCATCATAATATGCAAACAACATACATCTCTAGGTTATGACGCAGCTTTTTAAGTATATAACTTGTTTAGAACTGACAATTAAATAACATGGTAACAAACTTTTTAAACATTTAAGCTTTAAGATTTAGTAGGGTCAGGATGTGCAAGCAAATTGATTCAGCGGTCATTAGCAAAACAATCAAGCATTTTGGTGAAAATAATAATTATGTATATAGCGAAATAACGTAAGCAAAGCAGAACAATATACACAGTAATAAATTTCAGGATTGTGGTTTTTACATAATATAATATAGGGTGATCCAAAAATGAAGCCTTCTAATTTTCGAATAACTTTCTCAATTATGATGGAATCTCCTTCAGAGGAAAAATGTGATCTCCCAAAACATCAAAGTTTGATGATGCAATATGAGCATAAGACTGTTTCAAGTAATGGAGACTCTATAAGTTCAAGAAGATTTACCATGATAACTGAGAAAGAAATTCAATGGTATGGAATTACTTTTTGGATAATATTGTATAACTGTTTGTATTCTTCCCAGTTTAAATGAAAATACTCAAAAATGGCATATCTAGACCCAATTTGGTCAGATTTGTGAAAAAGGAAATTTCAAAAGAACTTGATAGAGAAAACTATTTGGTTAATATTTCTAGATTTTTGAAACCAAATCCTTGATTCTATTTCCAGTTGCACAAAATCGAGGGATGCCTAGTATGATGGTATAAGATGGGAACAAGAACATACTAAAAGCAACAAATAGATATTAAAGCATTGCTTAACAAATGGGGTCTAATTTTAAACGAACATTATACAGGTCAACCAAAAAATGCAGCCCTCTATATTTTGGAATAACTTTCTCAATTATGATGGAGTTTCATGAAGTGAACTCTATAACCAGAAGAAAATTCAAGATTAATCTATCAAAATTGAGAATTTTATTCTTATTTTATTATCATTTTATGTATTAAAATTTAGAGAGTCGAACTTTCTGAATCACCCTGTATATTATGAAGGCATAACAAATAGTTCAATACATAAAAGCATCAATAAATTCTTTGGAGTCTAGCTAAACCATATGGAAAGGACCTAATATATGCACAGGGTTCCAAGTTTTTCAGAATTAATTCACTAAATCTTTCCATATTTCCATGTGCAACTAACATAAAACATACACATGTCTATGGCTTTGCAGAAAAGTAATTCTTTGGAGTCTAGCTAAACTGTATGGAAATTAGCACCTAATGTATGCACAGGGTTCCATCCAAGTTTTTCAGAATAAATTCACTAAATCTTTCCATATTTCCATATATAACTAACATATAACATACACATGTCTGTGGCTTTGCAGAACTGCATTATAATCCACAAGTAAAAAAGTTTGTAAGAAGAAAGTTGGCAATGAATTTGATTGCTACAAGCAAAAGAATAATGTATATTCAGGATGATAGAGATAATGGTGGAGGAAAAACCTACGCACTTGCAAACCTTTCAATAAAAACTGAAGTGAGCTTTAATATTCTAATATAAGCATTTTTTGATAAGCTGCTGTTCCCATACAAAATTAATGAAAATTTGTCTTGTTGGTTTTTAAATTTGGTGTAATCAAAGTTAAGAAAAGCTCTTTAACAATAATTCTTTCTTTAATAATAATTCAGAAACGTTGAATCAGGCTAAATTGTCAGAGACTTTACTTTACTATTTCGGCTCTGATTGAAAGGTAATTGATATTTCGATAAAATTGGCCCATTGTTTGACATGATTTTGAAGTCTGTAGGAACCCTGATGAACAAATTCTACAAACAAGCAAATACATTATACAAACAAGTAAGAATTAAAAAACATTCAATGATAAAAATTAGTGATAAAAAACATACAAATAATGTAAGCCATAAAGCCAGGATATTTTTTGGATCAAATGGACAACACATTAAGCATTTACAAAATAAAAATACTGAAAATGGGGTTGCTTGTTATAATGTATACAAGGGGTCTGCCTACTGAATGCAAATAGGTTGCATTTGCTTTATGTGTATAAGGGGCCTTCCTACCTGGCCTGATATCGGGGGACATAATTTAGCCGATATATACTTTTTTAGCTGCGCCATAACCCCGGGATCCAAGTTGGTCAGTTCACAATAGCCACCTCTGTAGCCACATCTGAAGCATATGACATTATTTTAGCCACATATGTAGCCACATCTGAAGCAGATGCAATATTTCAGGTCAAAGGTCAAGGTTATTTATTCATACACTGCAAATATATCCAGTTCTGCAAAGAATAATAGCACCTTACAAAATACTGGGCAACTTGGATTAAATGCATGCGATCTTGAAAGGAGGAATTTCAGGCTTAGAAAGTGATTCCAGAATGTCATTTGAAATTTTTTCTTAGTAAAATTAGCTTGTTAAAATTCCATCATGACATGTTATATATCATCTTTATTTTGCATAACATTTAACAACTATGAATTATGAATTTGTATTTTTTCAAAATATGTGACTTTTGAGCCTTCCTTGATTTTTCAATGATTTTTGTATAAATAATATGTTATTTGTCCTCCTCTAATTCTCGTGATTTTAGCATTAATGGTATTCTTGTGACATTTTGAAAATCTTCCAACATCAAAACTCCTCCTTTGGGTAAACACAAACTATGCGCAACTCAAGCAAAGCAAAGCATTAAGTTATAATTACAGTATTTAAAATACAATAACAATTAATAACAGCAACATAAACAAAACACTGATAAAAATTCATTAAAGAGAAAAAAAAGGAAAACTGATCATTCAAAGAAACGGTACAACCTGTCGCATACTAGCATTGGTTTTGTCATTCTGACAGTTTCAATGAATGAATAGAATTTACAGATTGGTTATTTTCAAGTGTCCTCTTATGTTTTATAAGCAAATGAAGACCATACTGCTTGGTTCATTTGTATAATGATTTTAAATGTTTGTGACTGACTTTTCACAAAATGTTTCCTTAAAGCAAGACCTCCAATGATAAACATAATGCATGTGCCATATTCATTCATGTTCAAAAATATTTTAAGATCTTTGTAGATTTTTAAGCAAAAATTCTTTTCATTCTTTATTTCAATTTGGTTATATCAACAACCCAATTATGGAATGTGGAGTGATTCACTACAGCACCACTTTGTGAGTAACCACCATAAATGTGATGTTAATTTTTCAAATTACCCCCTTAACTACTGTACTAAGTCTGTGTATTGAAATCTTGCAGTTGAAAAATGTGTCATTGGTTGACACAAAGTTGAATTTTAAACCAATAATCCAGCTTATTTTCAACTGTTAGATTTCAATACATAAGAATTTGTGGGGGTGATTTGAAAAATCCCCATATTTATGGGGGTAATTCGTGAGTTAAACAAACACAAGTTACTACAAGGTATAAAGTGCCTAGAGCATGCCACAAGACAGGAGAATTAACTACAAGTCTTTAAACTCAAAAGGTTGACTGTTGTTAGGTGAACCTTCCGTAGTCTCAGTTAGGTATACAGACACTCAGATTACATCATCTACAGTTTTTTGGTGTTGTAAATTTCTTAACTATACAATAAAGCATATTCTTAAATTGTGCAGTCAACAAAATGTTTTCCTTTGCTTTACATGTCTCCATGACAACCATATTTTTGTGATTTAAAATCCAAGTGTCTGTATCTAAACTTAGGGGACATCTAAATGATACACTGAATGATGAAAATCCACAAAAGTAAGAATTTTATTTCAGAATGACTCCAACAATTTTTTGCATTTTTTCCCGACAAATTGCTTCTTCCTTTTATATAAGAAATAAAATTACTTCAATCAATAAGTTGGTTATTAATAACTTTTGTGGATGTGCACTAACAGTTTGCCCTTGACCCCAAAAGGCATTTCTAACACCTTGCCCTTTAAAATGCACATTAATGTTAACACCTCGCCCTTAAAAGCGACTTTTGCTAACACCTCGCCCTTCATAAGTGTACCTGTCCAGAAACAGAAGGACAAAGTTTGGCTGAGATAGACTTAAGCAGCTGGTCATGAATGTCAGGATCAACATTGATCAACTCGCAATATCCTCCACGGAATCCACACCTAAAATTTTGTACATAGTAACCATGGTAACTAAGAAATCAGAAAATATATAATTTGTTGCTAATGAGAATTTTAATTGCAAATACACCAGGAAAAGATTGAGTTCTGTCTACTTAAGTTTCAATATACCCTGAATCATACCCTCACAATACCCTTAATCATACTTTGTATACCCTGAATCATACCCTCTATATACCTTAAATCATACATAATATATCCTGACTCATACACTCAATGTACCTTAAATATTACTTTATGAACCCTGAATTATACCCTCAAAATATACCCTCAAAATATCCATGAGTAGAGATACCCTAAATATATCCCAAATTGTACCCAGAGTTATGCACTCAACAAAACCTGGAGCATACACCGCACATTCCCTGAATCATACCCTAAATACAAGTGCTTTGTAAAAATATAGATCTTGCAAAGCAACCCTCCATATATAAGCAAAAACAACACTAAGAAGCATCATTTTTTCAACTTTGAAACATAGTACATGTATGTTACTTCATTAATATAAGAACATTGCCTCAAAACTTCAAATACTGTTACTAATGAAGCGCTTAACTTATAACTTGAAATTATAATATCTTTTAGTTTTAAATTACAATGTGACTCTGCTTTAATATTTGAAGCTACTGCAAACATTCACTGACATTAAGTGAAAACTGACATGGTATTCTAGATTTTAAGTTCTATTAAATTACACAATTAAACTCTAAAAATGTTGGGTTCAAAAGGTGATTTCCATCTTCAGAATTTTCCTTTTTCCCGGATTTTCACTTCAATCTGATGCATTATTTTGCCATTCTTGGGTAAAAAGCCAATTCAACAGATTAAGTAGATTCAATTCAACAAACATTGAATGACATTTAGAATGACTCCCTCAATAATCATAAATCATACTTACTCTCCCATGTAACCCTTTGATGTTGACATAAATGATGCAAGTTCCATTTCATTATATGGTGCACCCATTTCTATCAGGACTTTCTTAAAGGAGAACCACTCAGATCCTTCAGCGTAAATATTGTGTTGGTAAACCTGAAAAAAAAAAAAAATGCTGTATTCAACCAGAATTTGAAAAAAAGATCCAAAAAAGGTTAAAAGATATGTTCGGTTTGAAATCTTTTTGATTCAAATGTGAACAGAAAATAATGTTCAGTGGCATATAATATACACATATACATTAATAGGGTATAATAGGGTATATGTGTACAAAATATGAACAAAATCAGGGTAATGGTATTTGAGTTATTGCCCGGATGGACGGACAGACTTACAGAAAGACAGACGAATGGTGGCGTTCCCTATATCCCTCCGATTTGGACTTTATTTCAACAGTTCTAGTTCAAAAACTGTCTGAAAAATATATCTGTAAAACATTGCTGAGGCTGAGTTGCCTTCTTTGCTCCATTGGTAGGGAATTCAAATTTAATTGGAGCATAACTTAAAGCGTAGGTCTACTTACCTCATCTGCCATGATGAAAAGGTTTTCTTCATAGGCGAACTTTATGATAGCCTCCATGTTAGCCCTGGTTAGAACTTGCCCTACAACCAAAAGGATAAAGAAAAACATATACAATTCACCTGGTGAGTAATTTCAAATATGGTTACAAAAAGCCTCGAAACCGATTGTCAGTCAAAAATTGGTGGGTTTAACACAATGTCTCTTTGGTAACAAGTGAAAACATAACAACAAATAAACATGAGCGCATGTTTAAACAATTGATGAAGAAATGGACATGAGGCAAATATTTTATCGGTACACATATTTATAGACATAAATTGCAGTAAATATGTTATAATTGTCATAGATACATTTGTAAATCTTTATTTTTCAATACAAAAATGGCAGGCCTTGGTCCATTTAGGAAGTGTGTTTCATGTTCTGTAATTTATCAAACACAAATTTACCCTAAACCATAAATATACAAATATTATCATCTATTATTGAATATAGAAATCAAAAATTAAGTTTTTTTATTTTTAAATTACCTGTTGGATTCCCTGGATTTATTACACAAAGAACTTTGGGTATACATTGGTCCTTGGCTTCATTCAGACTACGCTTTAATTCTTCTATACTCAACGCCCATCCATTGTCTTCATCCAAATAGTAACTAACCTGAAAGAGGAATATGTCCATATTAGACTAAAAATGGTTTTAACCAAAAGAAGTCGTTTTAGATATTCTGTAGGCTGAAATGCATATTTTTTTCCAAGAGAAAAAAAAATCTTCCAGCTAGTACTCAAGTATTCTACTAGCTGTATTTGTATTGGTTGGCTACAGTATAATCTAAGTTGATGGTTTTTTGGAAAATGTTCAACTTTGGAGGTATTCACCTTGGAGATGAAGTAGACTTCTAAGACTTTTTTACACAGATGTATGATCAACTAAATTTAAAACTGTAAAGTAGAAACTATGTTAGTGGAACAGCAGTGGTAGAAACTGTGTAAGTGGAAAAGCAGTGGTAGAAACTGTGTAAGTGGAACAGCAGTGGTAGAAACTGTGTAAGTGGAACAGCAGTGGTAGAAACTGCGTAAGTGAAAAAGCAGTGGTAGAAACTGCTTAAGTGGAACAGCAGTGGTAGAATTTGTGTAAGTGGAACAGCAGTGGTAGAATTTGTGTAAGTGGAACAGCAATGGTAGAAACTGTGAAAGTGGAAAAGTAGTGGTAGAAACTGTTTAAGTGGAACAGCAGTGGTAGAAACTGTGAAAGTGGAAAAGTAGTGGTAGAAACTGTTTAAGTGGAACAGCAGTGGTAGAATTTGTGTAATTGGAACAGCAGTGGTAAAATTTGTGTAAGTGGAACAGCAATGGTAGAAACTGTGTAAGTGGAACAGCAATGGTAGAAACTGTGTAAGTGGAACATCAGTGGTAGAATCTGTGTAGGTGGAACAGCAGTGGTAGAAACTGTTTAAGTGGGACAGCAGTGGTAGAAACTGTGTAAGTGGAACAGCAGTGGTAGAAACTGTGTAAGTGGAACAGCAGTGGTAGAAACTGTGTAAGCGGAACAGCAGTGGTAGAAACTGTGTAAGCGGAACAGCAGTGGTAAAAACTGTGTAAGTGGAACAGCAGTGGTAGAAACTGTGTAAGTGGAACAGCAGTGGTAGAAACTGTGTTAGTGGAACAGCAGTGGTAGAAACTGTTTAAGTGGAACAGCAGTGGTAGAATTTGTGTAAGTGGAACAGCAGTGGTAGAAATTGTATAAGTGGAACAGCAGTGGTGGAATTTGTGTAAGTGGAACAGCAGTGGTAGAATTTGTGTAAGTGGAACAGCAGTGGTAGAATTTATGTAAGTGGAACAGCAGTGGTAGAATTTGTGTAAGTGGAACAGCAATGGTAGAAACTGTGTAAGTGGAACAGCAATGGTAGAAACTGTGTACATGTAAGTGGAACAGCAGTGGTACATCAAAACAGCATTCCACCTGGCAGAGTTATTCCACTTCACAATTTTCACGGTGTTTGTAGTCATATTTTTAGCACTGTAGTATTTTACTAACCTGGTGGGCATTGTACTCAGCCACTGTTGCACTATAAAGAGGGTATTGTGGTATAGGAATCATAACACCAGCCTTTTCATTGCCTCCTTTACCAGTCATCATTAGCTTTAGTACACTCTGAAACATATAGCAATGCAATCATAGTATAGATAGGTGGGGTCTTTATATAGGATGTACATTGTACTCAGTCACTGTTGCACTATAAAGAGGGTATTGTGGTATAGGAATCATAAGACCAGCCTTTTCATTGCCTCCTTTACCAGTCATCATTAGCTTTAGTACACTCTGAAACATATAGCAATGCAATCATAGTATAGATAGGTGGGGTCTTTATATAGGATGTACATTGTACTCAGTCACTGTTGCACTATAAAGAGGGTATTGTGGTATAGGAATCATAACACCAGCCTTTTCATTGCCTCCTTTACCAGTCATCATTAGCTTTAATACACTCTGAAACATATAGCAATGCAATCATAGTATAGATAGGTGGGGTCTATGTACATTGTACTCAGCCACTGTAGCACTATAAAGAGGGTATTGTGGTATAGGAATCATAACACCAGCCCTTTCATTGCCTCCTTTGCCAGTCATCATTAGCTTTAATACACTCTGAAACATATAGCAATGCAATCATAGTATAGATAGGTGGGGTCTTTATATAGGATGTACATTGTACTCAGTCACTGTTGCACTATAAAGAGGGTATTGTGGTATAGGAATCATAACACCAGCCTTTTCATTGCCTCCTTTGCCAGTCATTAAATATAAAACAAGTTACAATTAATGACATAGTAAATCTATACCACTAGAAAAAAATCTATTTGACAGCCTTTAGTTTGTAAAGGGTGTCAAATAAATATGTTCTTCCCTCCTTAGCTTTAACATCCACATAATGCTGGATAATCTTTTTTTCTACATGATATCTGTATTTTCTTCAGCACATCAAAACTAGGATTCACAGAGCATCTCCAAAAGAAGTTTCAGATGACAAGCTCAACTACGTAGATGCACGTCATGCACAAAAGTTCACTCTCTTGAAATTAAGGGGGAGAAGATATTTATTCGACAACCTGTACATACCTTAATTGCATCACTGGCGCCAGTACTAAGGAATATATTGTTAGGGTCACTTGGTACCCCACCATCTCTTTGTGTTATGTAAGCAGCTATATCTTGTCTTATGACCTCTACACCAGTACTGTCACTATAGGCACCTGAAGTAAAAATCATAAATCAGTATTTTATGCAGAAGCGGATCTGGGAACCAACAAGGGGCGGGCCCAAACTTCTGGTCTGAGCAAAAAAACTTCGGGAAAAAAATTTTGAAATTTTGAGGCCCATTTTCTTAAAAATTTGGCCTAAAATTAAAAAATAAGGCCTTAGAAGGCCAGTTGTGAGCAAAAAGGCCCATTTATGTTTAACATATTTGTACATTTCTCTTCAATAAACTTGAAAATGTGAGTGTTTTCCTCTCAACATACAAAGTCATGGATGAGCAAGATGCTCAAATTTCATCAATGATTCAGCAAGGTCAGAGTATTCTTAAGTTAATGAGAACACAGAATAAATCATGTGGGGGCCACCCTAGCGGACATCTAGCCTAAGACCCATGGCTATCTGGAAAGTGCTCTACCACTGAGCTACAGGACCAACTGGCTTTTTGAAATACGAAGAGTTAAAGACACTTATCCTTTTTGTATATTTTTCATGAACATATTTTTTTTTATTGTTTTTCAAAGTTAAACCTCACCTATACTTCCTCCCTTGCAGCCAGCTAGAATTCTCTTTGCCCTTTCTTTAGCATCACTTGGGAATTCTTTATTGTCCATGAGTATGTCTGGATATGTACACAAGGCTACTACCTACAAATAATAAAAAGAATTGGGCAATTTCAATTTGACATTTCACGGGTGCAGCTTAAAAATATGTGAGGCAAATTGCATATCTAGATATATGAGGCAGATTAAAATGAATTAGGAAAATTAAAATAAAAAGAATTAGGTGATTTCAATTTGACATTTCACAGGTGCAGCCAAAAAAAGGTGAGGCAAATAGGAATGGGTGAGGCAAATGAGAATGGGTGAAGCAAATGGGAAGAGATGAGGCAAATGGGAAGAGATGAGGCAAATGGGAATGGGTGAGGCAAATGGGAAGAGATGAGGCAAATGGGAAGAGATGAGGCAAATGAGAAGAGATGAGGCAAATGGGAAGAGATGAGGCAAATGGGAAGAGATGAGGCAAATGGGAATGGGTGAGGCAAATGGGAATATGTGAGGCAAATGGGAATATGTGAGGCAAATGGGAATATGTGAGGCAAATGGGAATATGTGAGGCCAATTAGAATGGGTGAGGCAAATGGGAAGAGATGAGGCAAATGGGAATGGGTGAGGCAAATGGGAAGAGATGAGGCAAATGGGAAGAGATGAGGCAAATGGGAATGGGTGAGGCAAATGGGAATGGGTGAGGCAAATGGGAAGAGATGAGGCAAATGGGAAGGGATGAGGCAGATGGGAATGGGTGAGGCAAATGGGAATGGGTGAGGCAAATGGGAAGAGATGAGGCAAATGGGAAGGGATGAGGCAAATGGGAATGGGTGAGGCAAATGGGAATGGGTGAGGCAAATGGGAAGAGATGAGGCAAATGGGAAGAGATGAGGCAAATGGGAAGAGATGAGGCAAATGGGAAGAGATGAGGCAAATGGGAATGAGTGAGGCAAATGGGAAGAGATGAGGCAAATGGGAAGAGATGAGGCAAATGGGAAGAGATGAGGCAAATGGGAAGAGATGAGGCAAATGGGAATGGGTGAGGCAAATGGGAAGAGATGAAGCAAATGGGAATAGGTGAGGCAAATGGGAAGAGATGAGGCAAATGGGAAGAGATGAGGCAAATGGGAATGGGTGAGGCAAATGGGAAGAGATGAGGCAAATGGGAATGAGTGAGGCAAATGGGAATGGGTGAGGCAAATGGGAAGAGATGAGGCAAATGGAAAGAGATGAGGCAAATAGGAAGAGATGAGGCAAATGGGAAGAGATGAGGAAAATGGGAATGGGTGAGGCAAATGGGAAGAGATGAGGCAAATGGGAATGGGTGAGGCAAATGGGAATGGGTGAGGCAAATGGGAAGAGATGAGGCAAATGGGAAGAGATGAGGCAAATGGGAATGGGTGGGGCAAATGGGAAGAGATGAGGCAAATGGGAAGAGATGAGGCAAAATTAGAATAACTTAGGGTCATCTAGTTTCTCAAAGTCATTGAAGATCTCGTTTCTAATCTATAATGATCCAGTTTCTAAGTTCGTAATGATCCAGTTTTTAAGTTCTTAAATAATGATTTACATTGTACCTGTCTTATGAATGTTATTGGATTCTGCCCAGTAGCATGGCAATCTCCTATATTAGCCTTTATCACTTCTGTAAATGGTTTCTCTACGCCCTATAAAAATATAAAATAATGTTTGTTTTTTTCAAAACTTGTTTTTGATCAATTTACTCTTTCTATTTACTCTCTATTTCATTCAAATAAAAAATACAATAAATATAATTGACAATATTTTGCAACCTTAGCCGCAAGTTTACAAAATTAACAGCACAAAATTCACTGCAAACTCACTGCTTTGATTTCCTTTTCAATATCGGTAGCCCTTGCGACAATAGGTCCTCTGACGGCATACTCCATCACTTTAACATGCGGGTTCATGTTTTCAACTGTTAGCACTTTGCTACGAGACTGCTGAGAACTATTTACGACATTGTTCATCTTTGAGCCGACAATCGCAGCCCCACGCTGAGCCCCTCCCCTAAGCATCGTAACTGTCTGCAGACAATGAAACAATTACATCGATTTTTTTTAAATTTAAAAAAAAGTACATAGATATTAATCAGTTGCTGTATTGAATAAAGTGGGTGCATTCTAATTGAAATGTTGAACTTTCACTTTTAAGTTTGCAGATACAACCCCCCCCATTATTTCAATGGACTAAGGATGGACATTAATTAGCTGCATCAAGATCATTGCACTCTGAAAAAGTGTAAGTTGTCACTCGCTATTTTTTAACTGAAATTTCCTACTGAAGCTTGTGATCTTCACACCGGAATAGCCTGACAACGGTAAAGTCAGAAACCGTTATCACAAATGGCGGACATAACCGTCGCTTCAACTGTTTAATCACTTGGTCATCATTTCATGATATTTTATTGTCGCTAATTCTGTGCATGCTTGTGATAATGTATCATATGAAATCCCATTTTCGATCAGGTGGGTCGTGAATCTCCACAATATAGCGTCTTCGATATCGTCAATGACAACGGAATCTGATTTTGAGTAATTTTAAAAGACAACGGCATATGGTAATTACAATGTCCGTTGTCCTGTATCTCATTTTGATCGGTTAAATTAAAGACTTTATTTCGATGGTAGAATACTATTAATGTACAATGAGTATCAAAACACTTCGATTGATTGTTGTTCCAAAGGAATTTAGTCTACATGTAAGTGCTCTATTAAACATACAGTTCATGAAAATCTAATTGAAGCGACAGTTATTTGTGACAACGGTATCTGACTTTACCGTTGTCAGGTTATTCCGGGATGAGCTTCTTGCTTGGCTAATTAGCGGATGAATGTTAGGCCTACCACTAACCAAACCCGTCTGGCCCAGTTATCTACTCCCGTACTCGTAGATCTGGGCCAGACTAGCTCCAATGCAAAAAAGGGGTATTTACTCCGGAAAAAACACACTGTCTTTTCAATGTATAATACGTGCTAATAAATGAATAAACATCATAAAAAACACTTACGTGTTTGTTCCTTGTATCAAACTTTGTATTTATATTAGGTTTCCATCGCTGGATGACGGCTAATAAATAAGAACGAAATGATTAAACGCAGCAAAAAGAAAAATTCTTCTGCAATCTGTTCGTGATCTCGTAGAATATCGAGAAGTCTCGGCTGCATATTTCGTTCAGTACTACATTAGGTCAGTTCAACAAATTGAAAAATCGTATTTAATGTCCATCATATTTATTTCAAGCCTTAATACAACACAGATACGTCTGTTTTATAAAGTAATCTACATTTTGATAATAAATCTGCTGAAGAAATCGTAATATGTGGGATGTATTGGTTCCTGGGAAATGTATTTTCGTTCCATGAAAGTTAAAAAATCATCGCGTCACACTTATGTTACGTCACGTACTCTCATTGATTCATTGACTCATTGATATATTTTTAAAAGTCTTTTAAATAAAGTGAAATGAAGCCAAAATCAGCTAAAATTATGCATTCAATGTCGTAAAATGGCGTGACTGGAATATGATGCAATCACCCGTGACGTCAGACACGTATTGCCACATCAACAACGAAAAAAACAATTAATATAGACTTCACTGATTGGTTTAAAGATTCTCCGCATCATTTGTGACGTCATTAACATGTTCCCCAACCAATAACTAAACAAATTACAAATAGGCATATAGGTTCGTTCAGTGCCACGCTCTTGAATCAGTTATAAACAGGGATAATCAACAGATATATGAGAGGGTCAGGCATTTTTTTGACTTGGAGACCTCGACTCGAGGAGTTTGCTGCATTTTCTTGTTTTGCATTGGAGCTAGTCTGGCCCAGATCTACGAGTACGGGAGTAGATAACTGGGCCAGACGGGTTTGGTTAGCCTACCACGTGAAAGGGAAAGATGTATATGTCTGTCTATATAAGTTGTATAGCTAAATCCAAAAACCACCTGTTTTAACTACATGTATTGAATTTGACTAGGAAAATAGACTTTAAACTACAGACAACAATATACAACGGCAGACAGCAGACATGCAATATTTACGTGATTTATTAACAGTCAGACTGATCCACTGACTGAGGTCAATCATGATGATTTTTTTAATTTTGACCCTAAATAATTCAGCTAAATAATACAGCCAGATCATATTTTTAGGTTGTAAATTGACAAATACAATGTAGTTTATTATTGTATTAAAGAATAGTCAAATGTACTCACTTTTAAATGCAGTTATTATGATAAAAGCTTCCCTGTTTGTTTCGCAAGAAGGACAAAAATTTTCAAGGTCATGAACACATTAATGCGTTAAATTTACGAACATATAACTTCCTTTATAATTTGTTCGTATAGTTCTTTTGGATTGGAGGATAAAAAATGAGCATCAAAAGAACTGATTTCTGATCCCATCGTACTTAAAAAAGGAATAATAAACAGGTTTCTAAATTCATAAGGTATTCACCAGAACCATGAAAAGATGACTCACTGATTATGGCGAACGAATGGTATATATTAGCTGTCCGTAATTTGTTTGCATCACTTACATTTTATTTCCTGTTTAGAAAGTTTTGAAACTTTTCATGATAGAGTTGATTTTGTGACAATCTGAGGTTTCTAGAGTCCATATACAATACATAGATTATTTATTAAAATGGGACAGATAGAATGGGCCATGTGGGCCAATGAACAGGCCATTGCAAGTAGCTTTAGTGAGTACACTTTTAATTGTTTTTATAACACCAGAACACTGATTGTGATTGTCTATGTCTATGTCAGTAATCTGCAAAAGGCTAACAAGCCCATATAAAGCAGATATATAATTTAACAGTGATAGAATTTGAATAGAATATAATTTAAAACCTTAACATTTAAAAATAGATCTATGGTTTACAACTCATTTTACCTGGGGAGACTGTCAGGCTACCGCGTTGACATCACCCCTCTTTACCAGTAGTGCAGGCTTGTTGCTGTGCACTGGGGACCCTTTCCATTAAAACATAGATCTATATTAAAAACACACCTATTTAATTGCAGTTATTGACATAGGCATAGTATGATGATTTAAAACTACTTAGACTGTCACAGTCTAAGATGTCACCAGGTAGAGTGTTCCATTTTGCTATTGTCCTAGGGAAATAGCTAAATTTGTATGCATCCGTTCTAGTTGATGGTTGTATGAACTTAGAAGGATGATACAACCTAGTGTTGGTATTGATCTGTTGGCGGAAGTATGGAGGCACGTCAATGGCTGCTAGGTTCTGCTTTCCTTTGTAGAAAAGGAAAACTCTAGCAGCCTCTCGACGCTCCTTCAGTGGCTCCCACTGTAGGTCTTGAAGAGCTTTGGTGACGCAGCCTGGTTCCCTTGAGTGACATTTGGTTACAAACCTGGCTGCTCTTCTCTGTACCTGTTAATATAATTGCAGAAAGAAAATACAAAGATCTAATAATTATCACATATTCTCCTGGTCATAGACAATAATATGGATAAAGGTAAACATGATAGTTTAGTATCCTGAATCTACATTTCTTTTCGCTGTTTAGACCTTGTATGTTTTATTTTATGTTTTCTATTTTTTATTTTAGTTGTGTTCGTTGGAGGAATAACAGCTATTGCAGGACAATTCAGTAACTGGGGATTCGGTGTGTACGCTGTGTATCCTTTTGAATACATATATATTACGGCCAGTCACATTCTGATTGGTCAAGAGGTGGTCAACAATTTAAACAGTTACCCACATAACGATTAAACTTTGTTTGGTAATGAAGATGGATAATAATTGACCCTCCATCCTATACATGATGTACAAACTGTATACGGAGATGCACCTCGACGCTCTGATGCTGCATCGATCGTTGCACCGGTCGGCGTGTTGTTCGATGCATCTATCATTGCACGGAGGTGTGATGGCCACTCTCAGACTCTGGACTGTATTACATGTATATAAAGAGATGCATACAAAGTGTAGTGAGGTTTGTACTGGGAGAGGGGGCTTATCTAAATTCGTTATTTTGGTGGTTAGCTATGAACATGGGCTATTGGGGGGAGGTCTACTTGTGTATTCTTACTGCCAATCTGATATCAGTAGTAGTGAGTAGCTCCCATAATTCTTTCATATTCTATCGTATTCTGTGATTCCCCATTATATGATGTCAGGCCCGTAGCCAGGGGGGGTTCGCAGGGTTCGGGCGAACCCCCCCCCTGGCCAAAAATTCTTTCAAAATCATGCAGTTTTTGACCATTTTGAGCACTTCTCTAGTGATTTTAACCTAATTTGGGCCAAAATTGTCAAATGTGAACCCCCCTGAAAATTTTTGAAAATTGAACCCCTTGGCAAATCCTGGCTACGGGCTTGGATGTCCAATCAAATTGAACAATCATGAGCATGCTCTCTCAATTTGAAATCGCGGGAATGGCGTTAACATCAGTTCAACATCATCATTTAAAAACTGGCAATACTATCGAAGTTACTCGATCCAAACTTGTAGCGAACATTGAGAGATTCATTTCAATGGCAAATGAGGCATGTTTATAAAATTTGTCATCGAACGTACCAATACGAAAGGTCATCTTTGGGAAATCTCCCTCCTGACCTGATACATGTATTGAACAAATATTTCACTGTATTGAGGTGAAAACCTGTGCATCTTTCTCCTGTTATATTCCACAAAGCCCGATTTTCAATGACATATGACCTGAAAGTGGTTTTACGAATCATATAGTTGCTAGCTTAGTAATATAACAATTCTTGTTTTTCCTTGACATTCCATTCTTCAGTTTGGCTGGTCTTCTGATACTGCTATTGGAGTACCCTAGAGGCAAAAGAGTCAAAGGAAACACAATGGAACGAAAGTAAGTTCATAAAAATGTTAACTTACATGGAGTTCCCATATGTTATTTATGCATTTTCGTTCAGAATTGAATAATGTATATTCATATTGGTATGGAGTCATACATGTTGAATTCAAAACTGAAGCTTTCATGTATCTGCAAACGTTTATGACATTAATTAATTTTGCAAGAAATCAACTAAGGAATCAAAGATGACACGAAAATTGTACACCATGGGCTTTTTTGAGTGATAATATACAGGGTGTGCCAAAAATTACGTGGAAAATGGGATAATTAATTGTAAAATTAAAAGCAATCTTTTGCTTTTGTCAATGTCATTGTTTCCCAAATCAATGTGTCTATTTTGAAAAGGGTATAGTTGTGGTGTATACCAAAATTTCCATCAGCCTAACGATGCTTACTCTGACTAAGACAAGTAATTCTACAAACTTAACAAGATCTTAATTAAAGGCAGAATCAGAATTAAGTCACAAATTCAAATGACTAAATTATACACTTTATCATGGGGGTTTTTAAAGAAGGAAGATGAGTCTTAGGCAGGGTAATAACTTATAACCAACATTTGTAATAAGATTATATAGATAATATATAAGACAAGCAACATATTAAGGATGCATACAGGGTAAATATATATGTATAATAGATTTATACACATGTTCAAGTCTATAATTACCCAATAAGTCCCTTTAAGTACTTAAAGAAGATAAAGATGTCAGAAGGTGATTTGTGTTAAAATGGATGGGGGGGGGTCTTTCTGTTTTTAAATATTCACAATTTACAAGTTTTACTTGTAGATGCTTTAGGAATGAATGTGTGTGTGTGTGTGTGTGTGTGGGGGGGGGGGGTGTTTCTGATGTGTTTCCACTTCTTTTTAGTTATAGCAAAAATGGTAAAATATCACACATACAAAATGCCACCATTTTTAAAGAAAGTTTACTCTTTTTTGATAGTCTTGCATCATCATGTAGTTAAGGGGAGGGGGTTGGCAAAATTTTCTCAATCAGGCAGTTTTTCAGGACTCTGAGCATTTTTCATGTGATTTTGGGCCCCAAAGGGACCCCCCCCTGGAATTTTTCTGAAAAGTGACCCTCCCCCTTGGCCAAAGCTAGGTATGGGCATAATGCAGTACTTAGAATCATAAATTGTACAATAAAATGGTATGAACTTAAATGCACCATGGATATTTTTAGAGATATTTATCTGATTTAGGGCATCATGATTTAAGCTGTTTCACACTGTCGGATAATAATAATAATAAAACTTATGACATGTGGAGATTCATATGTATCACTACATGTATTTTATGCCAGGTGTAAATGTATATGTTTTGCCAGGACAGGCCCCAAGCCAGGGGGTTTTACTAAACCCCATATTGCCAACAATTTCTTCAAAATCATGTAGTTTTTTAAGCATTTTTCGTACAATTGTTTAGTGATTTTGGGTCAAAATTGTCAAAGTTAAACCCCCTGGAATATGTGAAAAATAACACCCCCTTGGGAAAACTTGTTTACGGGCTTGCAGGCTCTTAACAAGTCTAAGTAGAAAAACATAGGTTTGTAAAGATTTAAAGGAAATACCGAATTCGTCTTTAATTTGCCAAACATTTTAATTTTGCGAATTTGATGAAGCAACAAAATCCCTAATTTTAAAAATGCCAAAAATACCCAGGAATAGGTTGATGATTGAACCCCTTGGAAAATCTGCAAATTAGCTAAAAAAGGCAAATATGCCCGATATCCCAAAAAGTTAAATTAAGTAGGGAAACACATTAAGAGGTTCTCGCAACCTGCTTAGGATTATCTTATATTCTAGATAATCTTTGATAATTCAAAGCTTTGCACCTTTACTATAATACTGAGCCAGCATAAGATGGAATACGCAAATAATCCACATGGTTGAGCCAATAACTTTTTTTATAAACAGTAAAAGCTCTAAAAGTGGAACACCTCTAAAAGTGGAACACCTAAAAGTGGAACACCTCTAAAAGTGGAACACCTGTAAATGTGGAACACCTAAAAGTGGAACACCTCTAAGAGTGGAACACCTAAAAGTGGAACACCTCTAAAAGTGGAACACCTCTAAAAGTTGAGTCCCTCCAAACAAGTGGAACACTTTCCCGAGTCCCATTTAGACCTATATTGATTTAGTGCTAAATGAATTTGTCTAAGTAAAACACCTCACAAGTGAAACACTTTTTAGAGGTTCCAAAGGTGTTCCACTTTATAGACAGGTGTTATACATTTGAATAAAAGAATTTGAATCAGAAGAATTGTCATTTAAACATCCCTGAATCTTTCTTAAACAACTTATGTCGACTCCTGTAGACTCCCCGGACCATGTATTAATTTTGTATCTTAATTTTTTTTATTCAGTCTTATTTATTGTAAGCAATTCATAATAAAAATGTGAGTAGTAATAAAAATATGAGTAGTGGCTCTACTTTACAGTATTAACAGTTACAGATTATACATATACCTTAAAATGTTAAAATATTTGTTTATAACTACAAATAATACTGCATCTATAATTTAAAGGGCATTTTACTTACTTACTTTTAGTTATATAAAAATATAACTATTGTTTCACTATCTTATAAATGTCGTTTAAAAAGTCTGTTATTGTATTGTATTGTATTTTGTTTACCACCAATGAAGGTGAGCAATACCTCTTGGGTATGTCCCATATATGTACAGTCGTAATTTATGTAATTAACATGGAAGATAGACCCAGAAACCCCTCCTTGAAGGAGCCCTGTGTTCTTTTATGTGCACTTATACATAGACATACAAGTACACACCACAGCCTTTTGTACGAGTTGTGGACCACTCAGTCAAACACCCTGAAGTACTTCACGCAAACAAGCAAATTTAGCCTTGCCTGAACCGGGGATCGAATCCGGGACCTATTGCGTAAGAGGTACCTGCGCTACCGCTGAGCTACACGGGTGGACTATATATTATATTATATTATATTATATTATATTTTATATATATATTATATATTTTCAGATATCAGATCTATCTGACCAAACTGGTAGACAAACTTGGACCTGTTAGTAGCAACTACTTTGTAAGATTCGTGATACACCTACTGTAAGTCTGTTTTGGTATTACTACAGTAAACCTGTCTTATTTGAACATTAATGAGACCACCAATTGGATTGACTTGTACCCACATCTGGACACTAATCTGATATAATGATATGTAATATATCAATGTGAAATATCAATTTCAGAGTGATATATCAATGTGAAACATCAATATTAGTGTGATACACCAATTGAGTGTAAAATATCAATGTGCTATATCAATATCAGTGTGATATATCTATGTGAAATATCAATATCAGTGTGATATATCAATGTGTTACATCACTGTGAAATATCAATAGTAGTGTGATATATCAAATGGAATGTGAAATATCAATATTGGTTGTGATGCATCAGTTGAATGTAAAATATCAATGTGCTGTATCAATGTGAAATATCAATATCAATGTGAAATTCTTTTGGTTGTTTTTTTTTAATTTGCAATAGGTTACCATCTTAAAAATCTTTTGAACACCTGCCAAAATGAACACTTACAGCAGGTCTCTTGTTCCATTTGGACAGGTTTACATCCCAATTATTCACTTGCGCCATTGTTGTAACCAGTCAATGCAATATACAGTACATATAGTTCTTTTTGTGTCTTTTGAATAGCTTTGTTAATTTCTCTTTAAGGAATCAAATGCACATATATGTGTATTTCATACATAAAATGGTACATTAAATGCAAAAACAAACATTAATCAATGTTATATGTACTACATATATGTAAGTTGTATAATATTGTATCCATTACTTTTGAATCACACCTTGTATAACCTAAATTGGTAATATTTCAGACTGTGTGTACCATGCTGCTTTATATTGCCCACTGTTCTCGGAGGAATGTGTCTCATCATTACCAGCGCCATCTATTTTGTTGTAAGTATGAGAACGACACAATATCTTTTGGCAATTCATCTGTACAGGTTATCAAACAACATTGTCCTCCCCCTCTGAAGCATAAACTAAAAGAAAGCTCAAAAAGTTATTTTTCTATCACACATCTTCATTGTTTCACATTTCAACAACAATAAAATGCTCTTTCCAATGGTATATAACTCCTAGTTTATGCTGTGGAGGGAAAGAGGGCAAAGTGCCTCTTGACATTCTGTATAGTTGTTATTTGAGATATTAATTTTAGGAGTTTATATAAGTGACAATTAATTAATATTCTATTGGATATTGCTAGGCATTTCAAATTCTTTGTTAGTTTGAGATTTTGCCATATCTGTAGCTAATGGATAATATTGACAAATATTGGTGGATATTATTATCCCATCGAACGAAGTTCGGAGGGATATAGGGAACGCCTCCGTCCGTCCGTACGTACGTCCGTCCGTCCGTCCGTACGTCCGTCCGTCCATCCATCCGTCCGTCCGTCCGTCCGTCCGTCCGTCCAGGCAATAACTCAAATTCCGTTGGCCCAATTTTATTCATATTTTGTACACATATACCCTATGGGGATAGAAGTTCTGCTGGAAAGCTGATTTTCAAAATGGCCGCTCATTTAAAAATGGCGGCCATTTTAGTGCCGATTTTACAGTAATTTAGGTGCAATATGTAAAACTGTAATAGCAATATGTTTTAAATGTAAAAAATTATATAGGACATTAATAAAGCTAGAAATGTAGATATTAAAAAAGCACATGGCAGCCATCTTGAAAAATGGCGGCCTTTACTCGTTATTTTACGATTTTTGCTGTAACTCGAAAAGTAGTGGAGCGATTTTGTTCATATTTGGTATGTGAATACTATAGGCATGGCACACTGTCTAATGACACTTTTGGTAGAAGGCGGCCATTTTGAAAAATGGCCGCCATTTTAACTTATTTTACTAAAACTCGAAAAGTAGTGGAGCGATTTTGTTCATATTTGGTATGTGAATACGTATAAGCATGGCACACTGTCTAATGACACTTTTGGTAGAGGGCGATCATTTTTCAAAATGGCCGCCATTTTAACGTATTTTACTATAACTCGAAAAGTAGTGGAGCGATTTTGTTCATATTCGGTATGTGAATACTGTAAGCATGGCACACTGTCTAATGACACTTTTGGTAGAAGGCGGCCATTTTGAAAAATGGCGGACATTTTGAAAAATGGCTGCCATTTTAACTTATTTTACTATAATTCGAAAAGTAGTGGAGCGATTTTGTTCATATTTTTGTAGGTGAATACGTATCAGCATGGCACACTGTTTAATGACACTTTTGGTAGAAGGCGGCCATTTTTCAAAATGGCGGCCATTTTAACGTTTTTTACTATAACTCGAAAAGTAGTGAAGCGATTTTGTTCATATTTGGTATGTGAATATTATAAGCATGGCACACTGTCTAATGACACTTTTGGTAGAAGGTGCCCGTTTTGAAAAATGTTCGATGGGATTCGCTACGCTTTGGCGTTGCCGTTGTTCTGGTTGTACTTGCTTCCTGGTCATCTCAACCCCAAGTCAACTCAACCCCTGTAAAACTCAACCCCAAGTCAACTCAACCCTGTAAAACTCAACCCCTATATTTCTATATATTGATAAACTTATATTCCACATGATATGAAAGTTTATTTCATAAAAATAGTTCTGATAATTCTGAGTCAGTTTGTGATTTTCATTCTTAGACCTGCCATTTATAGTTTATAATGCGTTTATCTCCAAAATGTCAACATGTTACTAATATGATTAAAATACGAGCCATTTCATTAATCTTGCTAATGCATTTGTTTTGTTGTAATCCCTCTGAGGTTGACACTCGTGTGATCGTTTGGAATATTGGAACATGCGAATTGCTTTTCAGTCTGTAAATTGGTAAATGTCAATGATTTCAATAATGCGTGTAAATATTGATAAAAAGTTATATTGTTATTGTTCATACATTGTTAATTTTTTCAAAATTATCTAATATTTGATTTCAAAAGATGTCTTAAATTAAATAATAGTGACAACTTGATGAATTATCCTTGAGCTTAACTGTTTTTTGAATACTTTTACAACTTTCTATTCAAAGTACATGTATCATGCAAAATGCTAGATTTTCAGAAATGAATGAGTTAATTAATTCATTGTAAAAATGAATTAGACATCCCACAAATGAATAGGGTTGAGTTTTACTGGAGTTGAGTTTGACAGGGTTGAGTTGACTCGGGGTTGAGTTTTACTGGGGTTGACTTGACTTGGGGTTGAGCTGACTTGAGGTTGAGTTTTACTGGGTTGAGTTGACTTGGGGTTGAGATGATCAAAGATTCACAATTCAAATTTGATACAGTATTTTCATTTTTGAAAAATTGGAATCATTTTGAGCTCATCTTAAAAATGAGGACCATTCTGAAAATTTGGAGCCACTTTTAAAAATATAGTCCTTTCTTGAAGAAAGCTGGTCGTGGGCCTGTTTAGTATGAACAGCTTCTGTTTGCCTAGTGACCTTCATAAGACTGCATGAATGTGACATTATCTTTTGGCTATTCATCTAGTATATCCTCAAGTAGGTATTTTGAGAAATTTGCTACACATTGGCGTTGCCATTATCTCATTTTTCATCTCATTTTCCATTTTTTCATTTCATTTCATTTTTTTTTTCTTATTTTCCAGGCTGCTTTAAAAGGTGAACAATGGAAGCCTGTTGGCTTAAAAAGCAATAAGGAAGTTGCGGTTCCAACAGTAGCCACGTCACAGCCTCCCTCTCAGCCACCTCCTAGAGCGCCCCCTGGTGCTGAACCTACCACTGTCTCGGGTCGACCTCCACTGCCAGCGACACCAAGCAACCAGATCTAGTCACTTAAATGATATCATTTTGTCATAACAAAACTACAATCTCATCTTACTATGCCTCAAAGAACAGTTTACTCCTTGACTTCTCATTGCATATCATGTTAACAAAAGCCTATTTATGTGTGGATTTGGACTTTTTATGAGATCATCAGAAGAGGTAACATGCTGTTCGAGCTTCCAATTTTGGAAGGTGTTCTGCAGATATCATTCAGCGTCTTTAACAAATGACAGGTGGTGACATTTTGCATGTCAGTGCCTTATTTCTATGTAACAAAAAGTAGTAAAAATCACCAAACATAAACAGGCTTAACACATGGTCAAAGATCCATTGAAGAAGTTGTGGTTCGGGGAGTTTTTTGTGGGTCATATAAACAATTTAATATTGATGGTACATGTTAATCTCTAATCATATTTTTGTTGTTCCTTATATACATGTTGGTCCAAAATATGAATCCTTGCAACAAACTATATTTCAGTGATTACATGAATTAATATATTCAGATATTACAGCATCAGTGCATCACTGCACCACCTCTAAATGTGCTTGGTAGAACAGTGAACAACTTCAACACTCGCACTGCAGCAGTGTAGCGATACAAGAGGCACTCTCTGCTTAGCATGGGCAATGTTAATATGAGGATGAAAGTCCCATATAGTCAAAACGTTGAAATAAATAAACAAGCACCTCGTCCAGTACCGTCCGTCCGACGTGTTGAGAATGGGGTTTGCATGTCTTTGAATATTTAACAAGTTGGTGCAATGGCGTTCTTGCTGGGACTTCTAAATGGGTCGATTCATCGGCCAGCGCCCGACAGATTGAGTATTTTGTTCAAAATTGAAGGTAAAATCTAAAATAAAGTTCAGATGTGAACTTCTGATGAGAACTTGTACAGTATTAAAAAAAATTTGGTCGATTTGAAGCAAGTTGAAAACAGTTATGAACAAAATAATACAATTGGCTGGGTGCAGGCGGCTGAATCAGAGCAAATGTGACCCAGGCATTAATTGGATAAAGTTGTAGAAAATGCAATACTTGCATTCGGTAACTGAAACCAAATATTATTACGTCACCACCAAAACGTGTTGATATATTGTTATGGTCTCCGTTTCTTTGTGACGGCGCCGATTGGCGATCGGTGGTTGGTATCAATGGTTGACAATTGGCGGTTGGCGTCGAGTAGCAAATGGTGGGAACATTTTGCATGTTAATGTCTTGTGATTTAAATGAAATGAGTTGTTAGTTGTATGAAACTGTAGACAATGAAGTACATAATTCTAAGTTAAAAAACAATTATGTAGCTGTGTGACAATCCTTAATTTCTTGCACAGAATTTGTATTCACAGAATTATTTTGTAATTTTTAACAGCTAGACAGTATATTTTAAATGATATATTTCAACAATTATTTATGTATAATATGGAATGCACTATCCAATGGTATAATGGTACATTATTAGCCCTCGGAATAATACAAAATTGACTTGCATTTATTATTTTAAATTGTACCCAAAATGGACGCCATATTTGATTATTATTGTACATAACTTATAATAGCTTATTAAGAGTAGTATAACTGTATTTATCTTATCAATTTAAGCCCCGCTCCTTTTTTAGGACATATTTATATAATGTAGTTATATATTATCTATTTATCCCATGATTAATGTGTTATCTGTACAATAACAGCTATTGATATTTCTGATATTATTGAAATCCGTGTGATATTTTCCAGAAAATCGTTTATCAAACTCATATGCGTGTGATATCGTTTATCTCACGCATATCCGTGTGATATCACATCTGCATTTCGCGCCACAATATTGTTGGAAATTAGGTCAGATAATTTATTCTCTTTTGAGAAAATTGGTCCGTTAATTTATTCTCTTTAAGTTTCATTGGTGTATTGAATTACGATTGTGTATATAATTTGATAAGAAGGCTGCTAACTAACGATTAAAAAATGGTATTTATGACGAACAATATCATGTTATTTACTTTTAATTGTTAAAATAAAGTGTTTCAAATATTCAATTGATATTCTAATTTCTAGTTTATATTGTCTGCCAATGTCCTGGAAATTGGATCAGAACATCACAAGGTGATTGTAATCATGGGATAAACCCAATATCACATAATTTCTCGTGATATCATTTTATCACCTCGTAGATATCAAATATCAACACTCATTCGCTTCGCTCACTCGTGTTGATATTTGCTATCAACTCGGCAATAAAAATGATATCACTCAAAATGATGTGATATTCTGTATATAACATATCTATACCACATATATTAAGACACTGCTATGAGGGTTTTTATTATTAACTTAAATATGTCAAAATGCCTTAATATTGGTAATTGCATTGTATTTTAGTCTTCGTGAAAAGGGGAAGCAGATTGGGGGATGGGGGAGGCAGAGACAGGATGCAAGGCTTTTAGTCTTTTTTTAATATGCAATTCATTCTCTATATCATTCTATCAATTTGATCTGAAAATATATGAAGTGCATATAGCCCTTTTTATTTTAGACAAAACAATTCTCCAATATTCATCATCCTCCTAAGCAGGTATCCAGAATCCGTACCTCCTTTCTTCCCGGTAAAAAGAAAGAATATATTCTCGATTTTGAAACCCTGTGATCGGAGGATAATATTCATGAAATCCTTGTTGTTATATAAGGACTTTTCAAGGTCATTGAAATAACATTGACAGTTACTAGATATAGTATTGCCAAGACTATATTTTCCATTTAGCTACTTCAATTTGAAGACCAGCACCACAAAAATACTCACATTTCCATAATCCTGTCACCATCTGAAGTTGTAGCATATTCGTTTTACAGTCAACAATATTTTTGTGAACGGTGTTCGGCGTCTGGTTTGTAACAAATTCTTACAACTTCCAATACCTGGTGGTGATATTCTGTCACGTTAATACATTGTTTTCACTTTGTAATAAACTCAAAAAATAATATACTGAGTTGTTGTTTTGTTTTGTATGGTTTCATGTTATCACCAATAGGTTTTGACATATTGTTTTAACCCAATTTTTAGAGGGCTTTCGATATAAGTTTTCAGCCATTAGAACAATATTCATCGTTTCCTGATCGAGGGAATTGATTTGTGAATATCCCAGCAATGACAGAATTAATTTCTAATCATATTTTGAAACCGGAACTCACTATAGCTACATACTTGTCAAACTTTTTTTGTGATTTGAATAATGTAAGCACCCTATCTTTGTTTCTAGAGTTCCCAGTGCTATACCTGACTTGTACAAGTACACGTTTTCGAATATGTATTCCAAATAACTTATATCAAAAGCTGTCTATTAGGGTAAAAAATGTACGCAAACCTATCCCTATCCGTGTGTTTGTTACGGATACGTAATGGTACTGCTCTTTGTAAAATGAGTTTTTCAAGGCTACAGAGTCATATGAAACAATTTATGATAGAAATGACATCCTAATTCTAAGATTAAGCCGTGTAGTGGATTGTATGGCATTTATGTTATCCCCAAGAGCTGTCCTACATTTCAGAGTGACTCGCTTTTTGACAAGTATTTTCTCAGCAGTTGATTACTCAAAGTAATTGAAATACGGTAGCCGTATGGGATTTTTGGCAAGATAAACAATAAAGAAATAAATCGGTTACATATTATATGAGAATTGACAAATTCAAAAATGCGTGTCAAAAGTCAGAGCTGCGCAATGAGACCTTCACATCGTTTGTGCCTTCTATCAGGTGATTGAATCTATCAGTCAGCAGTCTCAAAAACAGCTTGTCCACTGGTGGAGCAAGACTCTAGCAAGGGGGAAGGGACAAAGTTCAGTTAAGGGAAATATTGGCCCCTAAAACCAAAACTTTTATTTAATGCCCATTTTGGATCAAAAAGCCAAATTTTGCCAAAAAGGCACATTTTTGAGACCCTACAAAAGATTTGGGCCCAAACATTTTCCGGCCCCTAAATTTTTTTCTGTGCGCACTAAAGGGGGGGGGGGGGGGGAGCGGGCCCCACGGTAGCCCCCCTGGGTCCGCCAGTCTTGCCTGTGTGTCAGGTTTATTCATTCGTTTCATTGTTCTTTGTTTCCAAAAATCTTTCTGTCCAAAATTTCAGTTTAAGGGATGAACAATACCTTGGCAACGAGCTTAAGGCCTCTATTGAGAACTATTTCAAGGTGAAAGGTTTGGGTGGAAGATCAATCATAAAAGAATTGAGGGCAAGAGTTAAAGTCATGTTACTGTAAATAGACTTATTAACAAAATTGCATTCGAACATGCATTAAATGGCGGAATAATTATGTTAAGGGAGGCGACATCGATGAAAAATACCCAAAAAGCATTTCCACGGAAAAAACAGCTTCATTCAGACTAAAACTTTTCCTTTGATATTGTTTTTGACATGCATTTTCAAATTTGTCAATTTTTACATAACTTGTGACCGATCTCTTTCATATTTGTACAACTTGACAGTGATGCCCTAAGGGCGGCTAATGTATAATATAAATATAGTTCTTTGAAACTTTATGAAAATGCGGGATTGGTCCTGAACGTGCATGCTTTCAGTCAGATGCTGCAGCAGATAAAAACAAACACATAAATAATTTAATATAAACACATGCAGGCCGTCACTACAGTATGGTACATGTCGCATACCTGCATCATTCACATCTGAAATGATATACAGTATAGTCTATCTTGTTGAAATTGCTTCTTTATTTGGTACATCAAATAGTCAATACATACATGTAAAATATAAACAATTCACCAAATCTTTACCCAATCTATCGAATTTTATCTTATCGAATATAATAATCTTCACAATTAATTTTCGCTAAATAGTTTCACTTGTTCTTTGTGTTGACATTAACATTTTATAATCATGGATGTATTTGTGTGATGCAGCGAATCAATTGGCTTCCTTTGACGCACTAATATTTCAATTAATTATTAATACATTCAGTATTCAAATTATTTATGTTCGGTAAATACCGTATGCCACATTTGATAGATTTTGTTATTTTTCGATACTTTACGAGACTTTAAGTCACGGGATAGATTTGAAGACCGCCATTTGTGATAATATAATGTTGCTTTATTGCATTCGTGGTAAATGGAAATTAGCTTTCGGTAAAATTCATTAGGTGTGTTATAGAAAAATAATTAATGAA